TTTTAAAAGGGAGGCTTCTGCTTCCTGCAGAAGGCGGGAAGATGTATTTTTTTTTAAAGTTGGTGGGGGGGAGTGGGAGAGCGGGACTGTTAAAACCTGTCCTCTTTAGAGATTAAAGGGGAAGCCTGCTGTGTTGGCCAAACAGTGGAGAAAAGTCTGCTTCTCTTGATTTCAAAGACCAAGGTGCTTTATCAGCTAGGTTCCCTTTTCTCAGGAGCATGAGAAGTCCTTGGGATCCTGTTGGCAAGGGGGCAGGGCTATCTGAACCTTAACACCAATGAAACCCAAATTATTATAGGAGAATATTTTGAAAACTTGTATTTTGATAAATTAAAAAAAGAAATGGATATATTTCCAGACAAGTAAGACCTACTAAAACTGAACCAAGAAAATGTTGGTAACCTAAACAGATCTACCACAAGCAAAATTAAAGTCTTGGTGCTGGAGAGATGATGGTTCAGTGGTTAAGAGCACTGGCTGCTCTTGCAGAGGACGCAGATTAGGTTCCCAGCACCCACACAGCGGCTAACAACTGTCCATAATTCCAGTTCCAAAGAATCCAACACCCTCTTCTGACCTCCACGGACTTTGTACAACCCAGGTGCACTTATATACATGCGGGCAATACACTCCTACACATAAAACAATAAAAAAAATTTTTTTTGGTCTTTTTGAGACAGGGTCTCCTTGTAGCCCCAGCTATCCTGGATTAAAGTCTTAATAAATGGCCAGGCATGATATCACATGCCTTTAATCCCAGTGTTCAGGAGGCAGAGGCAGATGGAGCTCTATGAGCTCAAGACCAGCCTGGTCTACATAATAATAGCCAGGTTAGTCGTGACTACATAGTGAGATATTGTGTCAAAAAAAAAAAAAGAAAAAAATTAAAGTCTGAATAGAGTCTCAAAAGACTAAGGGGGTTAAGTTCAATGGTTAAGTCCTTCCCTAGCATGTGCAAACAAGACTGGGTTCAACCTCCAAGACTGACCAAAAAAAAAAAAAAAAAAATGCTCCCAACAATAAAACCAAGATCTGGAGCAATTCCACCAGCATTTTACCAGACCATTAAAAAAAAGAATCACACCAACACACCAATGTTCCTCAAACAATTCTACAAAAGAGAAAAAGAATGCTACCAAACTCATTCTATGAAGCAGTATTAACCTGATCTGAAAACCAGGAGGAACTCTCAACAAAAAAACCTAGAAACCAATTTCCTTCAGGAACACAAACAAAATAAACCCTTAATAAAACATTTACAGTGCCCTGTGTTTGCAGATGGCATCACTTGGATCCTGAGCATCTGTGAGTGGTTCCCAAGACAATGGCCAAGAACAAATCAAAAGGGCAGAAGTCCAGGAATGTATTTCATTTAGCCAGTCAAAAAAACTTCAAGGCCAAAAACAAAGCAAAACCAGTTACTACTAATCTTCAAAAAATAAACATTATGAATGATGAAAAAGTCAACAGAGTGAACAGAGCTTTTGTAAATATATAGAAGGAACTTGCAAACTTTTCAAAAAGCCTTTCTCTTAAACCTGTGCAGAAAGAGCTGGTTCCTCAGCAGCAGCACCATGAAAGTGAACCAGCTAATGTTGATGAAGCTACAAGGTTAATGGCGCAGTTGTAATAGTGATGTATCAAATTCCCCCACAAGATCAATAAATTACTTTATACAAAAAATAAAAAATAAAAATAAAATACAAACGAAATTAAGCAACACATTAAAGAGATCATATAGTATGATCAAGTTGACTTCAAGGATGCAGGGATGTTTCAGCATATGCAAATAACAAATACAGCAAGAACAAAAATCATGTGATGCAGAAAAACTCTTAGACAAAATTCAGCCTCACTGCATGATAAAAATACTGAAGAAATTAGGAATACAAGGAAGGAACATACCTCAAGAAAAAGGTTAAAATTTCAAAATAATTTCCTCTAAAATTAGGAATACGACAAGGTTGTCTATTCTCTCCACTCTTATTCAGTATACTGTTTAAAGTCTTGCCTAGAACAAGACAAGAGAAAGAATTAAAAGGAATAAAAACGGGAAAGTCAAATTATATTTATAGATGATATGATCCTATACTTAAAATAACCTAAAAACTACACCATAAAGCTCTTCAGAAACTTGATAAATTCAGCAAGAGTAGTAGGATACAAATCATCATATAACAATCAGTACTGGAACTACAGAGATGGCTCAGTGAGTCAGGGCACTTGCTGCTCAAGTATGAGGACCTGAATTTGGATCCCAGCACCTACATAAAAAGCATTACCCCCAGCACTTGGAGATGAGATGGGGTGGGTAGAGGCTTGTTGACCACCATCACAGCTCCAGACTCAGTAAGAGACCCTGTCTTAAAAGAATAAGGCAGAGAGTGACAGATCAAAACAGCTGACATCCTCCTCTGGCCTCGGCATCTATGCACACATGCATGCATACCAACACATACATGCAGGAATCCACCACACACAAACACACACATACACAATGCACGCACGTGTGCACACACACACACCAATACCTTTTTCTATATGCTAATAAAATGCTGAGATATCAGGAAAAGCTGGGCATAGTAGGATACACTTTTAATCCCAGCACCTAAAAAGAAGAAGCAAGCAGATCTCTGTGACTTCAAGTCCAGCCTGGTCTACATAGTTCCAGGTCAACCAGGAATACACAGTAAGGTCCTGTCTCAAAAAGAACCCCTCAGAATCAGAAAAATAATCCTATTCATAATAGCCTCAAAAAAAGAAAAAAAAAAGAGACATATCTAAGGATGTGAAAGGCCACTACAGTAAAATCTATAAAACCCAAAAGAAAGAAAAAGATGTAAGAGAAAGGAAAGGCCTCCTGTGGTTCTGGCTCAGCAAAAGTAACATGAAAATGGCTGCATTATTGAATACAATCTATATAGACACAATATAATCCCCATCAAAATTCCAGTGACATTATTCAGAGGAGGGAAAAATACTTCCAGAGGGCTAGTGAAATGGTTCAGCAGGTAAAGATGCCACCAAGCCTGGTAACGTGAGTGCACTCCTCAGAATACACATGATAAAAGGAGAGGACTGTCTCCCCCAAGTTGTCCCCAGACCTCCAACACATGTGCCATGGGCATGCATACATGCACATATATGTGCATACGCTTAATAAATGTCAAAAAAGAAAAAAAACACTGCCAGGAATATTATAATACTTGACATCAAATTATACTATAGAGCAATAATGACAAAGACAATATGATACTAGCACAAAAGCAGACATCTAGACAAACGGAAAATAATTGAAAGTTAGATTTTGGGGTTTTTTTATTTTATTATTTTATGTGTATGCGTGTATTGCCTGCATGTAGGTAAGTGCACCCGTGTCATGCAATGCCCAGGGAGGACAGAAGAGGCTGTCGAATCCTCTGGGACTGGAGTTATGGACAGTTGTTAGCTGCCATGTGGGTGCTGGGATTCAAACCCAGGTCTTCTGCAAAAACAACCAGTGTTCTTAACCACTGAGCCATCTCTCCAGCCCCTGAAAATCAGGTTTTCAAAAGAATTTAAACCCTATTGACTAAAACTGTTAGGGGAAAATACTTCAAGATAAAGGCATAGCCACACATGGCGGCACACATCTTTATCCCAGCAGTCAGGAGGCAGAGGCAAGCAGATCTCTGTGAGACTGAGGCCAACCTGGTCTACATAGTGAGTTCCAGGCCAGCTGGAGCTACAAGGAGACCCCATCTCAAAAATACAAAAACAAACAAAAAGATATAGGCATAGGGAAGAACTTTCTAAATAGCCCCTCCAATAGCACAAGAAATAACCCCAAGAACTGACAAATGGAATTGCATGAAATTAAAGGGCTTTTTCATAGCAATAGAAACTATCAGTGAACACACAGCCTATATAATGAGAATATCTTTGCCAGCTATACTTCACAGAGGGATAATATCTGCACCATATAAAGAACCACAAAAATCAAACACATATACACAACTATCAACAAATGGGCCAAATGAACTGAAGAAAGAGTTCTCAAAAGACAAATGCAAATTAAAAGTACTTTGAATACTCATCTCACCCCAGTCAGAACTGCTATCAAGAAAGATCTAAACAGAGAGATCTCAATTGAAGAAATAAAGATGGCTAAGAAACATCTTTAAAAGTGTTCAACATCGTTAATAATTAGGGAAATGCAAATTAGAACCATCTTAAGATTTCATCTTACCCCAGTCAGACTGACCAAGATCAAGAGAACAAATGATACCAAATGCTGGCAAGGTTGTGGAGAAAAGGGAACACTCATTCATTGCCGATGGGATTGCAAACTCGTGCAACCCCCATGGAAAACAGTGTGGAGAACTCTTAAAAAACTAAAAGTGAACCTACCATATGACCTGGTTATACCACTCTTTGATATATGCCCAAAGGACTTGTTCCTATTGCAGAGACACTTGTACGACCATGTTTGTTACTGCTCTTTTCACAATAGCTAAGAGATGGAAGCAACCTAAGTGCCCCTCAACTGATGAGTAGTTAACGAAAATGTGGTAAATTTACACAATAGAGTTCTACTAAGCAGTAAAGAAAGATGAAATAATGAAATTTGCAGGTAAATGGATGGATCTAGAAACTGTTATACTAAGAGAGGTAACACAGACTCAGAAAAACAAAAGACATGTTCTCTCTCATTTGTGGATCCTAGCACCAAATCCTTATAAGTGAGTGCATATCCTGATGTGACTGCAGGAACCAGGAATATGGATGGGAACCAGGGAGGTAAAGGGAAAGAAGGAACCCAAGAGAGAAGAATAGTAGGAGAAATGTGTCACTAAGGGAGAAATATGTAAAAGGGGGGTAGTTCCCAAAGATGTTAAAGGGGAGGGTGGAAAGAAGGGCTATACCAAGAACTATGGAAATAAAGGGGAAAAAAATTCTCCAAAAACAGTTTTTTAAAAAGCCTTAAGAAGCTGGGTGTGGTGGTGCATACCTTCAATCCCAGCGCTTGGGAGGCAAAGGCAGGCAGGTCTCTGTGAGTTCAAGGCCAGCCTGGTCTACATAGTGAGTTCCAGGACAGCTGGGGCTACATGGAGACCCTGTCTCAAAAAGACCAAAAAAAAAAAAAAAGCCTTAAGCACAGAACCCTACAGAGATAGAAGAAAGCCCTTCCAGAAGCCATACGGTTGTTAAGTAAAAAAATCCCAGTACCAGAGGTGGGTTGCCCCCCTATGAGCTGTTGGCCAGAGGGGTCCTAGAGGTTTACAAAATAATAAAGGCCATTGCCAATAATATTGCTTGTACCCCAGAAGTGGACGGTAAAACCCTAGTGCTGAAGACATGGCATGATGTGAGCACAGAGGAGGGAGCAATCAAGCTTGGACTAAGCTGGAAACTCCCTGCCACTGGACGGGTGGCTTTCAGGGTGCCAGAAGGTGATACACAGATGACTGGGGGAGAATTGTCCCCTATGATTCTGCTCAATGATGGACCCTGTGTGCTGCACTATCACTATGCCAAACAAGATGTTCCTGCCAGAGCAATAGTGGTACATCTAGTGTATGTACAACCAGCAAATTTTTTATTGAATATAATGCCCACTCCTATGGGTGGAACACACATCTGGTACTGTAGATCAGGCCAAGCCCCTGTGGCAGGGGAAGTTATAGGCACCAGTGGGGAAGCCACTGCAATAGTTTTATTAGATGGATGTGATGCACCTGCTAAAGTACCATCCAAGCATTTGCGCTTACACCCATAGGTTAAGTTATTATAGCAGTCACTGTTTAGATGTTCTTGCTTCTTGCTGTTTGTGTTTTTACAGTAGATGGAATCCCACTGAATTGGGCCAACAGTCCATGGAAAACAGATGATGCAGAGACCCGAAAGTTCACTGCCTTGCCACAATGGGAGGAAGATCATCCCACACCTACCACCCCCTCCAAAGCTCAGGAACTTTTGCGGAAGAGGTTGGTGAAAAGAATGTAAGAGCTGAAGGAAGGGGTAGAGTGTTACCTGGAGGTGTCCTCATACCTCCTTCCCACTCAAGGAGTTGAGGGGGGAGTCAGTTACCCCTCCCACCGAGTCAACCTTACCTGCATGTGGGGGAGGGGCTACAGATATATAAGCCAAGAACTCCACAAGGCACCTCTCTCACCATTTTGTGCGGCTGTCAGGAAGTTACAGGATCTGTATTTGAGTGTGGACTTCCCAGTGCAACCATAAATGGGGGGTACCTACCTTTTTGTAAATAAACCCCTACCCTATGCTCTGTTAGCAAGCCCAATACACTTGTTAGGATTTTAAAATAATAATAATAATAATAAATAAAAAAGAACACAGCTAATGGAAACCTTCATTATTCCACCA